TTTTCTTTATTGGTTTATCGAATCTTTTATGACTGGTGTTTCAATGTTGGCTGTTCACCTCAGGATAACTTTCTGGAAAGCATATTCTGTATTTGGCAGTGATCGTAAACAATAAAAAACATCAAAAGCAAAATTACTGAAGCTAATAAAAACAAATGCTAGTGCGAGAAGTACTTCCAAAATGTTAGACAGACTGGTGGGCTAATATGAAGATTTACAAGATTTCTTTCTCTTTTATGTTTTAAATTTCAGAAACTATTTTTCCTTGTGTGTTGATAAAATACAAGCATGCTTTTGGACATTTAAAAGTGCTAATCACAAAATAATGAGGATAACAAGCAATGTAAGCAATGTACATTTACCTTGTAACATATAATCCCAGTGTCAGATAAACTTTTTTTTCCATCATGCATATGTAGCTCTTATTACTGAAACTCAAGCAGCACATAATTACTGGTAACAGAAAAACACTGGCGTTTACCTCCCACACACGAAGCCACACCTTGCCCTCCAGGAAATCCAGAGAGCTTCCTAAGAATTATTTCTAGCTGTGGCCTAGATTTCAGCCTCTTTTGTATCATGTACAGTGGAAGCTTGTCAGAGCCAATCCTGACTGGTGCATAGGGTTTGACTGAACAAGGAAATGGAACTCATCATGAAATCTGGTCTTACATTGGACCTTTTATCATAGAATCTCTTCTGCTTGGTTTGCATGGTTCAACAAGTTTGATACTTTTACCCAATGCAGATTGATTCTGGAGACAATCTCTGTTCTCTGCAGTAGGGGACAGAGAACAGAATTTAAAGAAAATTTCAGTAAAAATTACATACAAATTGACAAGGAAGAATTAGCTAAAAAAATTTTTCCTTTGTCTGTCTTTCCAAACTGATCCTATTTTCCTCCCATTTGGAAAAATAGTTTATTTCCTAAGCTTGCATGGTATTATTTATGAAAGAGAAGGCAGGAGAGAGTTAGGCTCAGTGGTTCAAACCCTGCTTTTTTATTTTACCAGGTGACTTTTAGATATATCTGGAAAGAAATGGCAGCATTCAATCTGATCCCAGGATTGTATCCATCAGCTGACAATGCATCTGGCCATGGCCTCTGTCATTCAGCCTCACATGGAAATGTGCAGTACTGTAGTGCCAGTATGGGATTCAGGACATCTGTCCTGACCTCAGTCTTCTTCTTCACAAATATTTTATGGTAACCTCTGATACATCTCTTTGAACCTTATTCTCCTACAAAATCACTATGAAAGCATTTTTGCCTTATACAAATAAAGATGCAGAATATATATTTCAGAAAAAACAAAGGCCCAACCAATCTCATAGGAAGTCCTCTGCTGGGAAGTAAAATCATTGAAAAGGAATTCTATCAGATCACAGTTGCTACTTCTCTGACATGGTGATCAGAATATGGAAAGTAACTCTTGGTTGCCCAAGCAAGTAAATATTGAGAAAAGATATAAAGGTTTATACTTCATCTGTATCTGATACTAATACAAGGAGAGGTGGAATATTGTTTGGGATCTGGGTCCTAAATTCAAAAGCGTGATGAAAAATTAGAAGGATTTAACAGAATAGGGATGAGATATGATTAAAGGATGCTCTCCTTCTAATGTGGGGCTCAAGAAGTTCCACCTATTTAGCTTATCAAAGAGAAAGTTAATGGGGGCCCTTTATGTACCATTCTATGGTGTAAATATTCATTTAAAAATCCATGCCTTAGCTCAGGCACACAAAGATCCAAGACCTACAATCTTAATTTATAGTTATCCATAATTAACCATTGAGAGGGTTACCAAGAATTATGGTAAAATTCCTCTTAATATTTTTATCCAGATATATGTGTTCTCCTTAAGATGATAAAATCTAGTTTCCACAGGGATAAGTTCAGGAAAATCTGCTCTCCATTATGCCAGAAGTCAGACTAGAAGATCACACAGATTATATCAGGCTTTCTAATCTGTTAATTAGATGGTTTATATAAATTCGGTTTAGTTGGGTCTGTGTTTTTAATAAACAGTATTTTTAATGTTTCATGTTTGACTGCAGCCTCATGTAATCTCACCTGGTTCTTACTGTATATGTGTGGTGGGACTTTGTCATCCTACCAGCACCTCCACCTTCATCTTTAAGTGTTGCATCATTAGCTTGTTACACAACCTGCAGGGTTGATACTGCTGATATGATGCCAACCTCAAAATCATTTGGAGATGGAGTGATGGCATTGCTGGAGATCCCAACAAAACTGCTCTAGATCCTGCACACAAGTTATTTATCAAGACCAAATTCTCTTATATCTTTTTTAAAGCTTAGGTAGAATATACTGCTCAGAGCAGTCTCTTTACAGGTTTTTGTTGAGGAATTCTAGCATGTCATTCCAGAGTATATTTTTTTACAAGTTTTTTTCAGGCTGAGGCTGATACTTAAAAAAAGTTTTGTTCTCACTTGTTCTTTCAGCTGTATTTTGCTCAGTAGTCCTGGGAACAGCCTGCTACTCTGACAAGCATTAACCACATCCATTGGACATGCTGTTGTTTCTCTGGGCACCCCTTCAGCTTTGCATGGAGAGCAACATGTCCTTAACACCTCATCAGGAAGCATACCATCCTTTGGGGGACACTATGATTTCCTTTCCTTTGGGCTCAAGATCTTTCATTCCTTCAAGCCTGTTGGCAGAAATTAAAAGGAGTACCTCTGTTGTTTCAGGTGAGATGTCAGTGCAATGCCCTCACCTACTGACTGAGTTTCTAGGTATTTTTCCGCCTTAGGAAGAAGCAGGTACTCCACAGCTCTGCAGTTCAAAACTCTTTGAAAAGTGCTGTTTCCTTCCTGTTTGCATTCATAAATTGTTTCCATTTTTCTCATTTCAAAAAGCAAGCTGCAGAAGATAACCCTCTTGACTCTTTTTGTGCCACGTTTTGGTGCCAGTTAAGCTCCTGCTAGCTTCCTGAAACCCCTGGCCTTTAAATACTTCTTGCTTTTCCAAGAACTTTTAATAGCCACTACCTAAAATGTCAATCTACTGCATGTTCCAGTGTAGTCTCAAACCAGGCTTCCACCTACTGTGATTTGGAAAAGACATTGCATATGTCCATTACATATCCTCCACTAGCAGAAGACTGTGTGCTGAATTCAAACTAGTACTGAGGGTGAAAAGCATTTCACCAGATTTTGAGATAAGTCTTGTAACTAAGCCTAGGTAAAGGCTTAGTGTGAAGCCGAAATAATCTCGTGACTAATAATAGATCAAACTCAGAAAAACTGTTTAGCAGCAGAACTGCTGTAGTGTACTGGAAGGGCACCCACAGGAGGAAGGAAATGAATGGTTTGAGTCTGTTAATATAAAACACTCTATCCCTCCACCCATAGGCATGTATCTTATCTGTACCATTCCTACATATCCTAGATCAAATGTGAGAGCCATTCTACTTCAGGGAGCTAAACACTTTTGAATGCTTTTTTTCCACAATACCAGAGCTCTGCAGGTATAAACTTCTCTTTATATATAGTGTGTTTCACACATCCATGTACAAGACTTACTGGAACTCTTCTCAGTATTAAGCTATCTGGGATGGAGTGCTGTAGGAATCTGAAGTACTCCTTTTGGGAGAATCCAAATCAGGAAATTCAAAGGACTAACAGATAGAAACCCATATCAGCAGTGAAAGAAATAGCATGGGTGGGTTTTTTTAAGAACAAAAGCATGTATTCTAATTGAGAATATTGGCTAACTGTCTAAGTGTGAAATACCTTAAAGGCTTGTGCCTTTGAATGTATTAGGTCCAATTTCCAAGGCTGTTGAGAATTTGTCAACTGCATAATTTTCAACTGTATTTATGAAAGATTACTGTCAAAAAGGCTGACTTTCATTTTTGAAGGCAGTTCCTGAGAAGATACTGAAAAATCCAGACTCACCCTCAGTGTTTCTGATGAACCTTTTACAACTCCTTCTGACAAAGTAATGCTGGTAAGATAATAGCTTTGCTAGAGAGCTTTTGAAAACTCGTCTCTCAAGCTTAGAAAATCTGTGTGAAGAGAGTAATAGTTATCATTCAAACTTGTTGGAGACTCTAATTATTACTTCAAACACAACACAACAACAGCATTTTTTTTAATCTCCTTGGTACACTGCAGTAGCCACACCCACATCCTTTTAGAGGAAACATAATTCTCTTCTCCTGCATACTTTGCACAAATATGTATTAATTTGTACATAGCACTCATAAATTTGTTTAGAGTTTGGCTCTTCTAATTTTTACTCTGTTATCTTATTGTAATGCTTTATGCAGCACTACATTTAAAGTAAACAATTAAAATGCTGTGAGCCCTTGAAACTTCCTTTGCTTAGGAAAGACACCTTGTTTATGGTAAAAGTGGTAAGGGCCACAAAGCTGCTCAGTTTCTCTTTGCCTTTACCACACTGGTCTAACTAAGCCAATCAGACCAGTTGTGCTCAGCAGTGTTATGTTTAGGAATGTCACTTGTATCACAAAGCACTGGGTTCATATTGCCAGAGAAGATGGGGACCATGAAATACAGATTAATTTCTTATCTGAAATACAGTGTTTCACCTTTCCTGTACTATCTGTCTAGCTGACAGTCATTTCAGTTGGACTACCAAGCTAAACCCACAGACTCAAATAGCATTATGATACGATTTTCAAAGCACCCAAACCACATGCTCCACTCCTTTCTTAGACTGATTATATACGTGCTGGTTGTTAACAGTCAGGGCACTGAAAACCAGAGGAAGTTAGCATTAAAGAAATACTACAATTGATTACAAAAAAGTATTGAAATCCCAAGTTCTCTGTACCTGCAGGGTCCTGAGCAGTGCTGGCTCTTTCAGAAAACCCCAGCTGTATATTTTGACATGCAATATGGTTCTGACATGTAAAACACACAGGTTTTGAAATATTCTTACAGTTTTCCAGGAAAGGCTTAGGATTCCTTAAGAAATTCAATGTATGGAAAACATGCGTGAACTTGTCTTTTGTAGTCATACTTGTGGCTTTATTAAAGGTTGTCCACAGAACTCTTTACACTCAGCGATGGAAAATTGCTGTATAGAACACAGACAGACAAACATGTTAAACACAGCTCTTTTAAAGGGGTTTTTCTGAAGGTGCTTGCCGTTGCTTTCCTGATATGGCTGCAATGGGCTGGGGTGCAGACACCATTGGAAACATATGAAATAGAATTAGAAATCAATGGAGCGGCCTTAGGGTACACACTCCCATGGAACGTTTTCTTACTGTTCCTTGGAATCTGGTTTACTTGAAAGAGTCTATGTTGTCAGATTTATTTTGGTGACCAGTAAATAATGAAGGACAGAGAGAGACTTTTTTTCACAGAGCTAAAATAGGACTATGAGGAGCAAATAAACTCATCAAGAGTGTAGCAACCTCTCTGGGTTGTACATTATACACATTTTCATCCAGCAACTTGATACCATGTCATATTACGCATTCTCAGGAATGGAAGAAGCACAAGGAGACATCCAAAGGAAGACAGGAAAACTAGTTCTGCTATTAGTACCTCTGTTCTTTGAATTTCTGTTTGCTGTATGATGCAAGTACCAAAACAAGACTTGCAGAGATGCCCAGGAATGAGTTCCCTCATCCCAGTTTTCCCTCATTCCCAGCATTATAGCAGGCTATGTCCACCTAAAATATGTTCTTAGTCTCCAAGTAAGATCTTAAATCTTCCTAGAGAAGAAACTATTCTTTATATCCACACCATTCATCTTCCTCGGTTCTAACAACACAAATCAGGACTGAGGAGAGACAGAGCTTTCATTCTGCCAGAGACTAACTTTGAAAGAATATCTTAGGCTACTGACATGTAAAAAAATATCACTTCTTCCTGATTTGGGCACTGAAGGTACTGCCATGAACAAAGAGAGACAGGAGGTTTATCTGTGCCCAGCTCATGTGACTCAGAGAGGTTCTTCTGTCAAGGCATGAGGACTTTGAGGTCTATTCTCACACCACCCTGCCAGTGCCAGGGACAAGGTCATGGTCATGCATCTCCTGCTGGGGACATGTACATCGTGTGGGGACTACCCCCACCCTCAAACACAGTTTGTGTCAGAGACTGTGGAAGGTGCAGATTTTACCCTTCAGGTTTTACGGGTGATTCCTGTGTCTTTGAAGTTCTGTTCCCACTGAAGATGAAGGCAAATTCCTGATGATATTAATGGGGTTAGGATGTGTCCTTGTCTCTGTATTTTGCTGTTGTTTCCTTTGTTGCAGTAGACCTATTCCTTTATTAAAGTTTTTGCCTGGGGGAAAAAGGAAAGCCACATTGCTAAATAAATTATGAAATATTTACATTTATGAAGCCAACCCCTTATGCCTAGCTCCTCCTCTGATATTAAGATGACACTTTTTATAGAGCTTCATCTTCTATACTGCCATTATTCCTCTGTGGGATCCGAGACCAGGAGGTGACAAAACAGCCACCATGAGCCAAGTGACAGTAAGTAATACCCAGGAATGATTGCTGATTTTCACTCAGTGCTGTGAGAAACTACTATATTAGACCAGTGATGGTTTGTTTAGTGCAGGAGAGCAAAGTAGGATCAGAGATGAAATTGAAAAAAAATATAAAACTGGGGAGGTTTCTAAGCAAAGCTTGATTTTTTTAACCTGACAATAAAAGGCCGTATGTTGTACAAAATTCCCATAATAATGACAATCCCAGAAGCAAAGTGTTAAAGGCATCAGTTGGCTAATCCCTATGTATGTTCTTTTTACTTTCTTTTGTATTTGTATTTACTTCTTTTTGCCTGCAGTACTCTCAATGCTACACGAATGAATGCAGCTCACTTTAGTGTCACCAGCTGTAATGAAATGATCTGCAGTTATCCTTGTGAAGATTTTGCATCTCTTGTTTTTATTCTATTTGTACATAGGCTTTAAACCTTAATAGTAGCTTTCTTCTTTTTAAAAAGTGGTTTAGCACATTGTTCAAATATGTATGGTTCAAACTGGTTAGCCTAGCTCATGCATTTCTCCCTCCTACTTCTACCTGTTTAATGCATTTGATTTTACCTTACTCCACCTCTTGTAGGTTTGGAAACAGAGAGGTAATGACTTTCTCAGGTGTTGGTTTGAGCTGTGTTTTTTTACCACTTGGCTAAGTCACTTCAGTTTATGCCTTTTGTTTTTATCTCTGTGGTATAGCCTATGGAGACTGTATCTATAAAATGGGTAAATGTTAGGTAACTATCACAGTAAATGAAACATCCTGTTAACTGGGTTTTTGCACAGCTAACTCCAAAAGTTTCTCTGTCACCATGCTCAAGGTCTCTGACTCCCTTGGTGTTGACTATTATAATGTTCCTTCTGCTCTTCCCCTGCTTTCCCTCTCTTGCTTACCTTCAGTTGTCTTGTTCTCTCTTCTTCCTTTCTCCTACAAACTATTTTTGCTTCCATTTCTCTGTTTCTTCCCATCTTTTTGCAGGTTGGTGAGTGTCTGGGAATACAACTGCACAAATTGTCCCTATCTGCTGTGAAGTGTTTCTTTCTTTGCAAAATATTCTCTACAAAATTTTCAGTTCCTTCATTCTTACCTTGGCTTTCCTGAAAAAAATATTTGGAATACTTAGAAAGCAAGAGATTGAAAGATAAGATTTTCCTTGCACAGTGCCTAGGATTTACAAGGTCAGGATATGAAATGAAGCAGCTTTCAGAGCAGGAGGGTAAGAAATGGAGGACAGTGGTGCTTACCATGTTCCTACTAGTGCAAAAATACATTTTTAAACTGTGCTATAGCAAGAGAAATATTGATACTTGGCTGACAGAACATTAGCCCAAAAAAGAACCCTGGAAAATGGCAGACACAAAAGTGCCCTGGAGCTAAATACTCTCACTCTTTAGAAAGTCATAAGTAAGCAATAAAAAGAAAATACTCGGTGACATGGCTTTTAGTGAGCTTTTGGCAGGTTTTGGAATGTAATGGAGAAACCATGAAGTGCTATAATGTGATACATTTGCGAGCATTAATAGATGTGAAGAGAGATTTTTGGATTACTGTCTTATGGTGTACAACTCTCTGGCTAATTTGCATGCAACATTTCTATGATTAATAAGTGAGGCAATGCTGATAACTACTGTATTACAGTGAACCACTTGTAGCATTTGCCAGCACATCAGCATGCAACATTAAATACTATGCTCTGCTCCTGTAAGCTTTGAATATTTGAAAAATCAGTTTGCAGTTCACAGGCTGCAAAGTGATCAAAGGAGGGAAGGAATATTCCTTACTCATACCCCTCTTACCTCTGTAAGCCAGAATAGTTAGCAGATACCTTGTGTAGAAATGTCAAGCAAACACAAGTTAAAAAAAAATAAAATCAAAAGGACTTACTAAACTAACTTGAGTAAAAGTGTAACACAGCTCTTTATAAAAAGCAAGATATATTTTTCAAGTCCTAATGTTTTGTAGTTAACATTTTTAGTAAAATGAACATTTTATATATGCATAGAATAGCATACTCTCAATACTGGGATAAATAATTTAAAGAACATAAAGATAAGGATACAATGGGTCTGCATTAAAAAGTCATATTATGCTTTCTGAATCCAAGATCTGAAAGTGCTACAACTAATTTCTTGGTTCAAACACAATTTCTTCCACTGCATTCATGCCAAATTTGTGAGAATTATGCGAAAATTCAGAAGATTAGATCTATTATCTGGTATCTCCCGTCTAAATGAAAAAGATATGTCAGATATGTGACACATATGGCTAGCAACTCAGAATATCAGGATACCTAGAATACACCAATATTGCTATCCCAGCTTGGAATTTCAGATCAGGCTCTCTGCCTTTTACTATAAAGAAATTTTTCCCTGCTGCAAAGGGTTTTTTTCTCACACTTAGCCTAACACAAATTTGTTCATCTCCATTCTCATTTTTTAATTCCTGTCTTTTTAAGAATTCTCTTGTGACATTAAAGAGGTGCATCACACCTTGAGCACAGTTAGGATTTGGCTTACTGAGCTTTCAGATAATGCTGCCAGCACCATTCTGCCTCCTGAACATTTTACTGCAGGCATGGGCAGCTTACACATTCTGAAGCAATTACTGTATTAAGTACCTAGTGATGTATCCTTCCCAGAAACTGAAAATAAAGGTCTAAAAGAAATCTGCACAATAATTTATGGGCGTTAACATATGGGTGTTAAGTTTCTCTGTGGATAATTATGTGGCTATGCTAATAACGCCAAGGATGCTTTGATAAATTGAAAAAAAAACTTCTCACAATGATGTTATTGAGCATTTCATTAGTCAGAAGTACGCCTGCAGACCTCTGTGACAAGACAAAGCACTGGGCTACGTTAGCATGCCTTTAAGAAGGTTCTCAGCTCAGAGAAATTGCTCCCAAAGCTTCCTTTGACTTGCTGGCAGGCAGCTGGCATGGAGCCCTAGAGTCCTTGAGAAATTCTCCAATACATTGCTCATCACTCCCATCATGAGAGCTTAGGTTATGTACAGTTGCTGTGGAGACACCAGAAGCAATTCTGCCACAAAGGCTGCCCTGTGAAGTGGGCTCAGGATGCCATGCCTCTGCCTGTTTTCCAGTAGTGTAATTGCCCAGCTGGAATTAAACTTCAAACAGTTTAAATTTTTAAGCCTTCAAGTTGGTTTTTTTTTTATATTTTTAGCTTTTCTTCAATGTCTAATCTTTTGACCTCTTGCATTACCTTTGTGTAAAATTGCACTGTTCTAACACAGCAAACCACTGCCCTACTGACAGACAACTACCAGCATTAGAGAAGCACCCTCAGAGATACAGGGGTTTACAGAAGAACCAGCCAGGTGTTTTGAGCAGTGTCAGGGAGGCAGAGTCCTGCCCTTGCTCTGGGGTGGTGGTGGCTGTGGGGAGGGCAGGAGACACCCTGGTGTGGGGGGTTGGATTTGGAGAGGCAGTGTCTGCATTTCCTGTGCCCCACGAGTGTGTCAGGCGTGCTGGGACCGGGCCTCAGCTTGTGGAAATGATTACAAGGCAATTTATACCAAACAACCATCCTACTGCCGTGTTTGTTACAAACTTGGCTGCACTACAGTAATGTTTAGTGGATTAATAATGTTTGATTTTGGCCTCTCCTACTCCCTCGGCAAACAGTTTTAATGCATAATAAATGTTCTCATTTAGTCTAACTAGAACAGAGCCCAAGGGTCAGAATAGCCAAACCTGCATGCTGAGAAGAGACTCCAGGTATCCACACAAGACAGAAGCTTTCTTCTTTCTCCATGCCAGAGTCCAGTGTTCAGGCCCTTCTGCAGGGTCAGTTTGCTGAGCAGGTCCCCCTGACACTCTAGAGGGGCCACACCACATGTCCCCTTTTACAGGAACCAGTTTGTCCAGTCAAAACGACTGTGGGCAGCAGAAGCAGCACAGAGTCACTGGGACAGGCAGATATTTCTTGAGTGTTTGGCATCTTAAAATAGAACAGCATATTTTAAATTTAAAAACTAGATAGATAGATAGATAGATAGATATAAAATATGCAAAAAGTAAACATTTCAGGGCATGCTGTGAGGGCACATGAGGTTGACTAAGTGGCTTATGGTCTTGCATTTTCAAAGAAAGCCTTACAAACCCTTTAAAAATCTATATGGTTCATTTTGTTGATTGTTAATCTCTTTTGGGAAACCAAGAGTCTGCCCATGTTTCATAACGTGTAGCAGAAATACGAGGATATGCAAACACAGAAGTTACACAACAAAAGCAAAACTGAATTAAAGCTGTTTACAGTCAAAAAATGAGAGAACCAGATCCGCAGCCTTTTTATTGCTACACCACTGAAATGAGTGTGTGCACAGGCAGGCTGCTGAGGTGCTTGTAGTGCTGTATGGTAGAGCTGTTTGTCTGCATCTTCCCACTGTCCTTTATGCCTCCTCAGTTACAGCTAAAATGGAGGCAACCAGTCTTGGGTATAATGAAAGAGGAATGTTTAAGTAGTCTTGTAAAACTTTATGACAGCTATTAATTGACCAAATAATTAAGAACAGCAATCAGCACTTATTTCAAGTGATGCACTGGTAACTTCTGGCCGGGGGAGTGTGAGGCTGTCAGCACTGTTGTGACAACCAGTGGGACAGAGACTCTGCTATCGAACCCTGTGACCCAAACGCTGTGGCTGAGTATTTGAAAATACTACAAGAAATACAGGTTGTGCCACAGATCCAGGTGCTCTCTGACACATATGGTGAGCTCGCCAGCACTGTCTCCAGCACAGGATTTCTTGGCAGTCCTGTACACTGAAGTTCTGCTTACACAAAGCTGTAGGCAAGATACAAGAGCTCAGACATGTAGGTTAGGTTAGTGTCTGCCATGAAAAGATAGGCAGGAGAAATTAATTTTGTCTTGGCTTATCTGAGTGATACCCTCCCATCCCATGGTGCAGTGTTCTGTGTCACTGGCAATTTCCACTACCTCAAAAGGCATTGCTTGACCACAGCTAGCAAAACAAGAAGTAGATATGCAAAACAATTTGACAGGCATCAGAGAAAGAACATTATCAAGCAAATTATTTCTCAAATGTTATTGGGTCATATGCAGAGAAAACAAAATGAAAAATTTCTTGCAGGATATCTAAACAACAAAATTATTTTCACTGAGCCATGAGACTCAAGCTACGAGCCACCTTAGATCCAGACTGGCTAATTGTGAAACCTATTCCTGTACAATTCCCTTCATTATGCAGGCCACATACATTATTTCTATCTCTTCAAGAAATATGCACAAATGTTTTTTGAAATTAATTCTTTTGACATTTGTACACTTTGTTGTTTGGCTGATTGCTCAGGGTGAAAAGGAAGAGAAATCTTTGGCAACCTATTGTGGCTCTGGGGCATTTCTTTATACCTACTTCTCTGGGGGATCAGTGGTAAGGACTATGAACACAGCAATACAGAAATATCAGTGGGACAGCCAGATCTTCAGACTGGAGTTTGTATCAGCAATTCAGGAAAAAAAAGAGATAGAAACATATATTTAGGGACATATTAAACACAGATACACTTTTGAAATCTGAACACAAAGAATGTATTGAGATTTTGCAAATCAGCTTTGTCTTTACAGCAAGACCATGCAAACTTCAGGTCCTAAGCCTGATACTGAAATATCAATACCGAAATTTACCACCCACATTTGTTGTAATGCGAAAATGTAGGTAAAACAACATCTTTCTTCAAATATATTCTTCTCTTTATATTTTTTCCCTAATTGTCTCGATTTTTCCTTTGGCAGCTATAAAACATTTTAACCAACCACAAATAATTATACAGATGCAAGAGGGAGAATGTAAACAGACCATTGTTACTCCTTATTTTGCTTATTCATATTTTGGAAATGTTTATTTGTTTATAAAATTGCTGTACATTAATAAAAGCACTAGAAATATTCCCAAGCTATTGGTTACAGATAATTTAAAGATGATTTAAAGTTCATTAATTATCTAAAAATTAATCACATAAAAATTAGGTCTTCCTATCCTCAGATCTACTCACGTCCCTGTTTGGATCCAATTTTCTCAGCGCTTTTAGAGGTTCAGCCCAAGCTGAGCAGAAATGCTGTGATTTATCTCAACAGTGCAAGAAATCCAGAGCAATTTTGAAGTATTTAGGGGTACTTATCCCATGCTACCTGCCCAGTCCTGACAGCCCAGCTCATGAGAGAGGTTTCTGTTGTCCCTCCAGCCCCACTCCCAAGGTGCCAGGGATGCCCGTGCAGGTGTTCACAGGGATGTGCTTTGGTGCAGCTCCTGTGTCCCTCCTGTCCCATCCCAGCGGGATGGTGAGAAGAGCCAGGGGAGCAGAGCAGGGCCCAGCACACACGCCCTGAGAGCCCGACACCACAGGACACCAGCTGCCCTTTACCTGCACACCACCTACTCCTACAGCTAACAAGGGGACTGCCCAGCACATCTTAAAATCACAGCGTTGCTTTTCAGACTGAAAATACAGATCAAGGGAGACATCTCCTACAGTTCCATGTAAGAAGGGCTGTGCTGGTTGGCAGAAATGGTTGGTTATAGATCTCTGGGAGCAGAAGTGCAGCTTTCATAGTGGATTATCAAATGCCTGAAGGCTTTGTAGATCTGTTCATTCTGGGTACAGATGAACCCACCACTTCTCCAAGCTTGCTCTGCAGCACGGTTCAAATCCCCAATGCATGTCCACTGATCTTCGAATTTCCTTGAAACAGCCCATTTGGAATGATCATTAATGGAATGGAAGGTGGAGTTCAATGGCATCCCTATGATGTTTATGTTGTAGACGTGGTAGTCAAGAGAGCAATTTGAGTAAAGCTTTTCACCAGAACGCTGCCAGGATTCAGCCAACAGATCAGTCTTCAGCTCCTGAGCCATCCAGGCCACATAGATATCTGTGGAATAACACAGGGTGTGGGCAATCAGTGTTTCATGTTCCTTCTTTTAAGAACAGACTGAAAAGGATAACCTAAATTGTGTTTCTTTCATTGCAATGCATGAAGTCAGTCAGAGGGAACTTTTCCCCCTCCCCTTATTTTTACTTTTTCAGAAATTCATTTCTACTTTTTCTCTTCTAGTAAACCTGTTACAAGCAAACAGCAGGAAAAAAGGGAAAGGACAAAAAAATTGCAAGTCTTCTTCATAATAAAAAAACTCCAGATGATTCAAAACCCCCATTTCTTCTTTGTTGTTACTGTTGAATAATGGAACATGATTTTCTTGAAAATCTAATTGTTGAATACCTTAGGATGGACCAGACAACTTTTTGCTTTGTGGAGCTGAGAGAACATTAGGATGGGACAGCACACCTTGACCTCTGTTACATTTATTTCTAAGCTGAACTTCTTTTTTCCCCCCTCAGAGAGAATATGAATTTTAAAATAATTTATTAATTCATATTTTAAGAATTAATTGAGAATGTGTTACATAGAGAGCAAAAGGTTCTCTTACCATCTATGAACAAGTGTGACTTTGCAAAGTGGAGAAAGGCTTCCCCACGAGCTGACTGGAGCTTGGAGAGGTGGCGAAAGGGGACTGAGGGCAGCCTGGACTTTGCACAGAGTTTCTGGAGATTTGGGAGATCAGCTTGGAAGCTGTCAGGGATGGAACAGCTGTAGATTCCTGGATTATAACTCAGCATCTGTTGGTCTGAGAAAAACCCATAGAAACGAACACATGCAGAATTAAAATGGGTTAAAGAAAAGCAATCCAGAGAGCAAAGTTCTGTCTTGGACAGAAAACCTAAATCCTTCTAAACTCATCCAGGAGATAGGTTGTGAAGATTAACTATCAAAGTATCTTATTTTAGCAACCAAGAACTTGTGTATTGCTTTGCATTCTGACTGGTCCTGCAGCAGAAGAGTATGCTCAGACTTTCCACTTTCACCTCATTATTTCTAGCAGAACTGTTAACTGGTGGTCTTGGTCCACTGCCACTTCCACCCATGCTCATCTTCAAGCCTCTCTGCAGCCACAGAGCACTCAGACATTATGTATAAAACCTGTCTGTATTTACAGGAGTAGTTTCCAATCAGTTGCAGCTGCCAAGCCAAATGCAAACAGAGGAGCTGCCAAAGGGTCTAGTTTGGTTTTAGGGAGAACAGAACTTGACTTTCAGCATCTGGATTGAATCTGCAGAAGAAATCTCCTTTTCTGAACAGTGCACAGCTCAGCTGTAGAAGTCCTTGCCATGGGTAGCATAAACAGCAAGGGAACAAATGGCCTCATTAGTGAGCTCATGGAAAACCAGTCCATCAGAAACATTCCAGTCTTTCTGGCTCAGGGAATCCCTGAACCACAGATGAGCAGAGGCTGGGAGGATGAGGCAGGAACAACATTAGCATATGCATCTCATTTTTGTCCTCTTCTGCTAAACACATGCATAGATGTGTTTCTATAAACAGGAACATGGGTTAGATAGCTCTGAGGTATGGCCAGCCTGGCAATTTGCACAGCACTTGTCTTTCAAAAATAGGATGATATGAGGTTTGAAACTGAGAGAAGAGTGAAAAAAACAGTGTGAAAAGAGTTGAGGAACATGCCAATATGACTTCTTGTAATGTCTTTCAATAGTCCCTTTTTGGGATTCCAGTACCAGTTATCATTGCCAGATAGTTCTGAATCTTGCAGCTATATTTGGTTGGGTTTTGGGGTTTTTATATATTTAGTATTGGCAATTTTTGCGGCAAAGAAATACCTAGGAAAATTCTAGGTGCTATTTATTCCATATTTCATATTTCTGATGAGTCAAGGCTACTACTCCAGTTCAAGCAGTGGTTGCCTTTCATTTTTAGAGCTGCAGATAACTGTTGCTGACTGAGCTATTACTGTTAAAAAATATTAATCATCCTACTTTGTATTTCCAAAGCATTTTGTTTGCATTGGCTGAGTTTACTCTTGATATGCACTTGTGACTACTATTATCCTGACAGTCCCCACAGGGAGATGAAAACAGAGTGGAAGAGTGAATTTCCCAGATTCACACAGGAAATCGTTGGATAAACGCAACTGAAGCCAAGAATGCTTTTTCCAGGCCCCTCTTGGTTTCCCAATGTCACAAAAAAGGGTCAAGAACATGTAATTTCTGTGGTGAAACCTCATGGAAAGCAATCAGAGAGGTGTGGTGGGACAAAGGCCTTCTTAGGGAGAAGCTTTTCGTACCTATTTCTGTGAACTGATCATATTTGAAGGTTATACAGATGGCTGTCTGTCCAAAGGACTCCCCAGAAGCTGGATACCCATAACCATCCTCAGGGCTGGGAGGGAACAGGGGCACACTGTGAATCACCCAGAAGCCTTGTGATTTATCCAAGAGCAGAAATCCTGTCAAAATAAAAGTTACTGAATTAAGGAGGCAAAAACCCAGAGATAATAGAACTGTGCCCTTCTACTTTGGTTTTGCTGCTGTAGACACCACATGTCAATGTGTTAATGTCTACAGTAAGCTGTTCTAGAGTAGATTAATAGACCATAGGAGACACTAATATTGTATTAAAATTGCATCAGTTCCTTTCTGCATAGCTCAACCTGTCATCATGTTTTATTTGAAAAAAGTCCTCTCTCACCCCCTTCCTCTGCTCAAATTTTGTCTTCAAGAGTTCTGACGATTTAGTTGTTGTGACTCTCTCTCCATTGTTCATCTTTCTTCACTTCAAATATTCACTGGATAAGGAGAAACATCTTGTCAACAGCATGTCTTCTTTCCCAGACCAAACTATCCCGCATGGGGAAACAGCAGAGAGACAGTCTGTGCTTCTCCCCTCCAGGATGGATCATGGCTCCTGAGCTGTGCCCATTGCTGCAGCCTGAAAATACAGCCCTGCAAAATGTGCTCATTTCCATGTCAGGGTGGGCAAACCCCATCTGCTTCCTCAGGGGAACATTTAAACTCCACTGAAGTTTACACTTATTTAAAATCTCGATTTTCTGTAACTACATCCTACAATGCTTCCATGATCTTGGCAGCAGTTTCTTGTCCCAGAAAGTTTGGAGGGGTTTCTGTTGAGGGTATCTTTCCCTTCATATCTTGTACTGCTTTGCCATCAGGCACAGGATGGTGCTAAAAGGATTTGTATTAGTTTCAACTCTTGAAACAAAAGAGTCCATGAGCACCGAGATCCTTCACACAGCACAGATGTTGCAAAACCAAAACAGAAGCTGCAGCATAGGTAACTATAAAAAAACCACACACCATGCAAATCACTCTTCAGTTGTGCTTTAGGCAGGAATTTTAGATATGCAGACAGACAAACAGACAGACAAGTAGATGCTATCCATAACTTTAGAAAGGCAGAAATAGTTTGGGACTCTCCCTGTACCTTTGGTGTGTCCACGTTTCGACCCTTTGGAGTCTGATTCAGGGATCTCATCGTTGTATATTGCATATGCAGTGGTGTTCCTCTGCAGGGAAACATACATTTCTGAAACATGACATTCAGTAAAAGGAAGGCATGTAAGCAAATATCTGCTGGGAACAGAAGATAGAATTCAGGATTCCTCTGTGTGAACATCACGAGCCTAATCCTGCTCCCAATTCAGCTGCATAGTCTCCATGGACATTACAGTAAAATAAACCTGAAGACTCAGCATTAGGGCCTCAGCTGACATGAAGTGGAAGTTCTCTCAATCACTGCAGTAGCCCTTTCCCAAGGGTAGAATATGCTTGCTAAGCCAGTTTACATGGGTTTAGTGGACACTTGCTTGCAAAGAAGTTCCACTCTGCTTTCTGGGCCTCTCTCTGATTTAGCAATAAGATCTGGTAAAAATATTTGCTGAGTAAAAATAGACATGACAACTGCTCTTATGAAGGGCAAGCAATTAAAGCTTTTTCGCAAAATATTTGCATACGGCCGCACCTTATTTCCCCTGAACAGAGAACTTCAAAGGAGTTGGGACACGCCTCCCCTCCCAACGTAATATGAGTCTGTAAACAGTTTATTACAGCTACAGCAACACCTGGGAAAGGACAGTTTTCTGGACTGCCAACATTTGAGTGACTTCTGGGAGTCTCTTCTACATACAAATTGATTGCACCCTACCACAAATCCACAGGAGAAATGCATTGACACAGCCAGACTCCCAACAATACCACATAGATGGGAAAAAAATAATTATAGGGAGATCTTGTGATATTTTACAATCACTTCACACAAATACAAGGTGTCTCAGTGTGGGAGCAAAAAAGAAAGTCAACAAGCAGCATATTACTGCTGGAGCAGTCACAGTGATTTCAGGGGGATGATGAAAACCCAGATTTGATTTGAGTCAGAGTACAAAACAAATGCACATAGGACAGCTTAGGACAAGTGTCTGTAACAATTACCACGGACCTTGGTTTGAATTCACAACTTCAGATGTTGCTCATCTGAACATGAATTGCAGCAAAGAAGCCAAAGGGCGAATGTATGAGCACTCTTTTTTTGATGGACAATACTGTAACTACATGAAAAGCTTGACTAGAAATTAGAAGTTTGAGGATTATCCCTAATTGCAGTCAAAACTGCAAATAATCTGCCCAGCTGTGAAGGTGCTCCTCCCCTCTATGTGTTTTAGCAGATCTGTCAGTCAGACCTGGCCTTATGTGCTTATTTTGGGTGCTTTCATGTCATCTGCATATAACATCAAGTAACCACACTAACAAAAATGAAATGTCACTTGCCTTGGATTCATAGGTCTCGTAGAGCTGCTGCAGTGTTTGTCCCAGAGCACCCTGTGTCATGTTGATGAGGTATTTACCAAGCTGCCACTGCGGAGCCAGGGCATCCATGTACAGGTATTCCAGTCCCAGCATGGGAATCTGTCCTTTGGCATGCTTTGGCAGCTTGTAAAGAGTGAACCTGCAACAGTGAAAAGCAATTTTTTTTTTTTTACCACCACTCTGTTTGAATGCATAAATCAGTATCTCCTTCCTGAGAAGGGTGAATCCAGGGATGCCTGGGCTGGAGAGGGAGCAGTGTGGACATCTTAGCCTCAAAACAATGACCCAGCCCAGGAACCAGCTGCAGACAAATTTGTTCTGCTTCATAGCAAGCAAGGGAGGCTGATTCAGCACCAAACTCCTGTTGCTGTGGCCACACTGCTGTTGGTACTCCTGGAGAATTTGAGGTAGCTTTGGTTGAGTCCATGAAATCCCTATTGCTCCTGGTTCTGGTAAAGAAACTCGGGTCCCAAAGGTGGTCTGTGTCTGTACATGCACCAGGAGTCACAACAATCCCTTTATTTGAAATAAAGATTTGAAAAATATTAAGATTTGGAAAAGAGAGGAATAGCAGTAGTTACAGTAGTGAGAGCTGATCCAGGAATTAGTAGATTAAGCCCTTCCAAACTACTTTGAAAGATTTATGCTCTGGAAGTATTTACAGCCTTGCATCTGACAAATCCACCTCAGCAGATATGCTTATGAAATGCTAGTCATTGAGCTGTCAGGAAATTGCCTGCCAATTCCCACTGGATACATGTTTTGGCTCTTTCCAGAAAGCCAGATGAGTGTATTGCCAATTAAAGTTGCATAAAATCTTTACTGCTATTTGTGCACAGGAAATTTCTCAAGAACGTAGGCATTTGGTAGCAGAGCAGAGTAGAAGTTATTTTCCTGAGAACCAAGAAAAAGCAAATCTGCTTATTCCAGAATAGCATTGTCACATTGTTTGCTTGTGACTGAACACAATTTACAAGCAAGAATCACATCTTTACTTCTTCCCTTCCTCCCCATCCCCTTAAAAAAAAAGCCCAAACAAACAATGTGCATCATGGCTTCAGTCCTTGACTCAACATTTCTCAGAAAGCATAGTTTTGGCTTTTATTTGCAGGGAAGGCTTTCCATAGAATCCAGTGAGTTTAGATGAATAAAGGAAAGACTCTGCCCTCCTCAGAGAGCCGGTCCTGTGGCCATTTGCTCTGGTAGCCCCTGTGGGAGGTGCAGTGGTCCTGTGGCCATTTGCTCTGGTAGCCCCTGTGGGAGGTGCAGTGAGGATTGTGGGATGAGATCCCGAGGGAAATGAGAACACAGGAGACTTCTGCCCACCCAGGTACTGCGTGTGGGGAGGAGCTGCCAACCCAGCTGGGGAGCACAGATGGGATCAGGTCAGATAAAGCAAGTGATTCCTTTGGCTCAGTGGCAAATGAAAGGGTGTGTGAATACTGAGTAACGATGGAATACTGCAGGATGAAACCACGGCACAGCAGGAACTCACGTAAACCTCTTGATAAGTGAAAAAAATGCAATGTTGTTTGTTTGAAAGGGCATTGACATCTTTTGTTTAAGACGAGGTTCTTCTCAGCAGTTTCAGTTCTGCTTCTGTCAGCTTCATAGCAACCAAATCCAGACTCCAAAGGCTGACTCTTCTCAATAAACCAGGATGACCCCAGCAGACAGGCAAGTTTCTCTTCTTTTGATCAGGGCATATTGAAAAGGAAATTCCCCTGTCCTACCTGCTAAATTTGTGAAAGAGAACATGGATTTGCCTGTGCAGACCCCCAGGTTCCTTCCTGGAACAGGCCCTATGTCACTGGCATTCACACAGAGGCAGAGTCTGATTCCTGAAAAAATTGCATTTTCCAGCAGGGCCTTGGCAAAGGTGACAAGTCATAGGGATGGATTAGACCCTCATACATTTGATGCTAAGCCTATAAGACAAAGCCAGCTCTGTGCTCCTGCCTGTGGTACGAGGAGCGCCTGCCTTGCCCGCAGTTAGCTCTATGTGCAAGGAAAGGGATGGGCCTACTTCTTTAGCACTTGTATCCAAACTAATCGTTATTCACAAGGAAAACATTTTTCTTTTGAAATTGGTTGATACTTATCTTCAGGAATCTTACGCGCCCTTTCACTTTTTAAATCCGGGCTGGATGTTACGCAGTTGTACTTTGCGTCTTTTCATCTTGAAAGCGCATTAATCCAATGAATCATGTAATTAATACCCGAAGCTGGGCTCGCTGCTGGGCTGGCACGGGCGGTACCGTGACGGCAGCTGGGGCCAGGAGTGACTTGTGCTCCAGCCACAGGGCACAGCGGCTCGGCCACGCTGCTGCTGCCAGCCCTGGGGCTCAGCCGGAGCAAGGCCAACAAGACCATGGGGGCCCCTGTTCGGTACCAGCCCAATGGGACGAGCGGGACCCAGCCGAGCCGGGCCCGGCCCGGGGCGAGCGCAGCCTTGGCACCCCAACACAGGTTATATTCCCTTTGATCATGAGACGTGAACGCCGTGTAAAACCGTGATTATTTGATTATCCTGCGGTTAGTCATGATGCAGCACGGTGGTTGGTTCAGGGAAATGAAATCATGTTCCAATAACTTATCCTAGGTTTTTCAAACGCAGCATTCAGCCACTACTCACGGGCCAACAGCGCTGAACCAGCGATTGCCTTTGCATTGCTTCTCGGTGACCCACCCACTTCCCGCGGCTTAATCTCGGTCTATTTATTTACTGCCCTGCACGGTGTTTACTCACCAATCCACCGTCTCCCCGTCTTCATTCCTGCAGGAAATCTCAGCTGCCCACAGGGGCACGGAGGAGAGCAGCAGGAGCAAAGCAGGCTGGCACCACGCAGATCCCGCGGGCATTTTGCTTTCCCGGCTGCGCAGGGCGAGCCCCGAGTGGCTCTAAAAGGAGAAGTCGGGCTCTGTTAGCTGCCAGCTCCTGCCCACGGAGCGGGGAGCACACCCCGGACGGCACAGCCCGGCAAACCGGGCTCCACGGCACGGACAGGGCTCCTGGGAGCCGCCGGAAACTGCTCGCGATTTCTTCGGGCAACAAAATGACAGTTCACAATTATGTTTTTGACACCCCCACCCCCGCCCCCCCGCCAAAAAAAAAAACAAAAAAACAAACAGGAAAAAAATTTTGACTATTTAGAATACTCATAGTTTTCCGCTTTAAAAACCCTCCAACCTGCAGATACCGAAACCGTTTTTGTTTTCTTTTTAGTGCTCCGTGACTGACGTACAAATTTTCCACAACTATCTGAAAAAACCCCAGGTGTTCAGACAAGTAGAACAACATCCTTTCCAGCTCTCTGCTTCTCCGCCCAGCCCTGGCAGTGAGCACAGCCCTCGCCCCGTGCCGGCTCCGGCGCTGGGGACCTTCAGCCACCCCTGGGGACTGAGCCGGAGAAACTCTGATCTCTGAATTTACCAAAGGAATTTACTTACAATCAGCTGATGTTTTTTTCAACTATTTCAAAAGTGCGTTGGCATTTCTCTTAGGAATATACATGTCTGAATTGAGCAATTTCACAAAAATTCACACATAAAGAGCTTCACTTTATATATTTTGGTGTGGAAAATGATCTTGCTCCCTCCTCATTATGCCTACATGAAAAGGGGCTGATTTACATTAAAAGTTGTTGATACAACTTTCATGGGATATATGGAGTATGGGATATTTCAGCCTCATGGACAGTCTAGTGCAATGATCTCTGGATATTTTAGCACAACAGAAATCCTCACAACCTTCCAGAATTTTGTCATCTTGCTAGTACAGCCTCTCCAGCACTGTAAGAGATGTGTAAATGGGGTGTGTTTGACCGAAGCAGGGTAAAAATAATAGGGCTTAATGCAAACAAAACCAATGATCCAGGAGAAGAGACTCAGTGAAGGTCTATACAGTCAGACTAATTAATAGATGACAAATGAGAGACTAGTTCACGGTGACTTTTGTTCTATAAACTGTTCCCCAGAAAACTTTAAAATTTTATCACAGCTGCTACTAATATAATAATAATAATAATCTCCTAAGGCATTTTTTCTTCCCATCAGGACTCTGCAATTTATAATGAAAATATTCTCACTACCCAGGTACCTACAAAAATATAGGTCATAAACACTGTTTATGTTTCATTGACATTGTTTCATGACAGCTTAACTTAGGCTTCCACTGCATTTCTTTACAATTGCCACGTTTTCTTTGCAGATCAAGGACATTGAAGTCCTCAACTGTGAATATGGCAAGAATACAATTAAGTTCCTTCGCCTTCACAGAGAGGGAAAGAAGCATTTTGTTAAAGAAGTGGAAGTGTGTGCACATCTCCGGCTGACTTCACCTCAGGAGTACCTGGAAGGAAACAATTCTCTTGTGATACCTACAGACACCATAAAGAATATTGTACTTGTGTTGGCCAAAAAAAACGGGGTATGTTTTTTTATTTTTTTAACTAGCCTTGATGTTTCTTACAATTTCATTTGGAAGTATTAGTTATACTAACTTTTTATTTTCAATTGGCATATCAGACCAGTAGCAAAGTAACTTTCAGTGACTGAGAGAGTTTTCCTCCTCCACTGCTTGTCCTGTGGACCCTTTCTTAGTTTTCCAAAGCCTTTTTTTCTGAAGAGCTAGTACTGTTTTTTGTGGATTTGTCATACAAAAGCCATCTCTTTTTTTTTTTTTTTTTAAATTTAATAGCCCATAATCCTGCATTATTCCTACACAGCATTTTTAAACAGAAGGTCTCAAAGTATGAGACTCTTTATTCTGTGCTCCTTCTGCCATCAATTTCATGTATCATAATGGCAATCTATAGCACTAAATTTCTCCATAATGAAATCTCATCTTTACCCTGTAAAACTTCATTAAAATATCACCATATCAATCAGAATAATCATGATAAATTATTATTTCTGCATTATATCCTCACAGCATAAGACTCCTGCAGCAGTTTCTCTCAGTCCAAGGACTGCAGCTCACTGTACCACAGAATGGGTGATTTTTGACATAACTGTAGCTGCTATTTGCAGCCTATGCTGCAAGCTGGTCAAATGACTGGGCACAGTGAGCCAAGCTAGAAATAAGACAAATGTGTTTTTAACCACACTGATTCTTCCCAAATACTTACAACAACCAGAAAAATCTACTTTTATACATGAGGTAATTGCTTCTTTCTAATAATACTCTTTGCTGCCTTAGATCTCAACTTTAGAACAATTTGCTATAGATATCTGCAATCACTTCATGACAACATTTTGCCAAGTGGCGTACGTCAAAACCTACGTTCAAGAAGTACCATGGCAACGTCTGCATGAGGTATCTAAAATACTAATACATTCCATTTGTTTATGCTGTAGTCATTCCTCACTCTCTTAGCTCCTGTTTTCAAATTAACATAATATTTATGGCACTTTTACTTACATGTCTGCTCTAAACTGCAGGATGGCGTTCCCCACATCCACTCATTCATATGTGTTCCTGATGGGATCCGCTTTTGTGAGGCTGAGCAGTGCCGGAATGGTGAGAAAAGAATTGGCAACGTCCCCTACTTCTCTGTAAATGTTTCTGCCAATGAGAGATGAAGATGGCTTTAGAGATAGCTACGGGTGTTACTGGGCTTAGGGCACAGCCAAACTGCTCCAGGGGTTTAAACCAAAGAATATTTTTATAGTAATTTTGACCTTCTTGATCTCTGAGACATGGCTGAAGAGCTAATGTAGCAGACATTTGTATGTATATCCCAAACATGGAATGGTTACAACTGCACATCCAGCAGAACTGTTACATCTCGCCACAGGATTTAACAGCCTTCTGAGAACAGGCTGCTTACTTTTCTACCTTATACCATAACCTGCAATCTCCTGTGATCCTTACCCCATACCACACTGCTGCAAGCCAATTGCCTGGTTTGCAGTAGTTTTCAAACCCCTGTCGACATGCCCTGATTTGATTTCTAATAAAGCAATTTCATTGCTGCAAGCCAGAGCTTGAACATCGTGAGCACTCTGGTCTATATGTGAACCATTCTTCACATGAAAATACTTTGGAGTGTGCTTACTATTTTTGCACACCATGCATAAACAAAGCAGTATTTGGCTCGACCAAGAGTTCTGTGATATTTAAAAGACAGGCTTTCAAGCTCAGCTGTCTGTCCATGAATTGACATTCCAAAGGGAGTGTAAAATTTATCTCTACTTGCTATAGCTAAGTTAAAAAAAAAGCCTAAGTTCAATCTCACTGTGATGGTGTATCTCCTGGATTACTTGGAACTGAGCTAAGGCCAGTGTATCATTTCACACAATGGCTTTAGAGGGTTTAGGCATTAGTTCAGTACCTATCTATACTACATTACTGTAACTTAAAGCTATTTCCCCCATCCTACCCAGTACCAGCATCAAGACCAGTTCCACCTGCAGACAGGACACAAGTTTTGAAAGGTGCATCAAAGCACTGTCCCTGTGTTCTTGCTGAAAGAACAGAGAAAGCCTGTACAGTCTCCAGTGCCTCTTGGCCTCATATTTTTTCATGTTTCTAATGATGTTTCATGTTTCTATTGCTGTACTTTTGGCAACCTAAATAGTATTGACTGTATTTTCTGGAAAACATTAAAAAAGACATCTGAATTTTAAAAAAACCCAAACCAAACCAAATCAAAAGAATCTATACTTTTCTGAAAAGCTGCTGCTTTTAATGTAGATTGTATTAAAATTTTCATCATCAACTTCAGATTCTACTCAAACAAAGCCTTTATAACTTACTGAAGAAACCACTTTTCCTTCCTAGACTTCCCTTCATGTAGCCCTCTAGTTGTTTCTTTAGAATTCTCTGCCTAGGTGAACAATAACCAAAGTGAAGATTTTCAAATCACTTTTATTTTTCTTCTAAGAGAATGTTCTCTATATTTAGCATCCTCCTATGCACCTATCAGCCAGACACAGGAGTTAATTTCTCAGTTAATCCTATCTTTTAACAATTTTCTTATCATAAAAAAAACCCCTCTAGTGAGGTTTTAATAGAATTGTTTTTTTGCCGTTATATCAGATGATAAAAGGCTCAGAATTTTTTGGAAACTCAAAACATCATAAGTAACTTAACAGAATCAAAATTTGTTAACTGAAGACAGCACGAGCACAAAGCCTCCTGAAAGCAGAGCATGAGCTGTTCACCCTGGAAACTCTCCCTGGGTGCTGTATCCTTTGGAGCAAGTTCCAGATTGATTGCTGCACAGCCAGCAGCCTTTCAGTCAATCTTTTGGTGCAAGGAGCTCTTTCAAACAAGGCTAAGTATTTGAATATAAGATAAATATCTCTCCAGGTTCACTGATAGTATCTGCACTACATTAATACCTGTGTGTCACAGTCTTATACCCAAGTGATGAATTATTCAAGATCTGTCCAAGGTCAGTCTCTTCTTTAGATTTTTTTAAAGCTTCAGTAAATAACAGGGGGACATAGGCAAAATGATTGATACACCTCCTTAGACCCATTCAAAAACAATAATGTAAACAAGAAAAGAAATAGATAAGATGCAGTTTCAATAATATCCAGTCACAGAGCAGTTTAGAAACACCCAAACCTCTGAACAACCATGTAATTTAGAAATGTCTACCATGGTGGGATTATTTCCAGTATAAATTCCTTCAAAGATATAATTTAAAGACAAAATTTTTGAGTCTTCCAAATCCAAGGTGGGATTACTATGCACTTGACATATTCAAGGATTAATTTTGCACTAGCTAGTGTGAGCATCAAGAGCAGCACAAAACCAGCAGCTTGGGCTTCAGCCATTGACTATCTGCACAGGTCCTGAATGAGCCTGCATTCCATGAAGTCTCTCTTTTCTGAATCAGCCTTTTGGCAGCTCTGGTCAGTGAAATTTTCAGTTACCATCTTGGTGTGCTCTAAATGACTGACTGCTTGAAATTGAAATAGCTGCGGTTCAAAAAGTGTGTCAGAAGAAAAAGTTCAGGTCACAAGTGCTTGGTCTTTAGAAGACAATGGTCCACTCATGCAGCAGTGATCCTCAACAGCTCATTTTATAGTGGCTAAGAGCAAAGCCACTTTCAGTTTGAACCTGTGGGTGGCATCTGTATCAGTGCCAGTTCCTGCTCATTAGCTGAACTGCAGGGATTTGCATTGGCTCTCATTCTCAGAGATGCAAAACTCCCAACAGGATGGGTATCTAAAGCAAATTACTGTCTTTATACAGAAAATTTTAACATTTGTCTGTGTTCTTGGAAAAGGCACCACACCTCTCGCTGTACATCACAGCACTGGTAGCCTATTTCATTTCCCTTTAGAGCCATTCCTAAACTGATATCAGCACAAGCCAACCCAACACGTGTCCCAATTCCAAGCAAGTGAGATAAAGTCTATCCTTAGTTTACCTTAACTGCAGATCACTTGACGGGATTCTCTGTTTTCTAGATTGAGCCTGACTTCAGTAGTTTCTGTCTTGTTTCTTACTTTTCTGCCAATATCAGTGTGCAGAAAAGTTACTGTCTGTTTTCTGGCTCTGGAGCTGTCAATGCAAGTATGCACCCAAAGGTTTCTTTCTTTGCATGAAAAGAAGCTCATATTTCCTTGTAATTTTCAATCACAGGTCCCCTGGTTGTCTTGGCTGGAATTAAGGACCTGAAACTTATGAAGACAACGCAGTCTGGATTTGAAGGCTTCTATAAGAATGAACACACCACACTTCCTGAAAGGCATGACAGGATTCTCTGTGGAGAGCTCTTCTGCAAATGGTCATACGGCGAATGCAAGGATTTTGACTTTGACTGCATATGGTATATGTTATATCAAGTAATATTAATTTCCCAATCTATACTCACAAAGTTCCTCTATACAATACAGAAAGTCTAAGGGCCAGATCTACAGCTGCTGTGCACCAGCCACTCACAGGTCTCAGTGGCAGCACTAAGCTCTTGTTATGAGAAGTGAGAGGCATGTCTTAGGGGTACTTCTCTCTTTAAGGGTACATCATTGGACAGGATTCAAAGGAACAGTTCAGTGTTCAGTACACTTTAGGGAAATAAAATAACTAATTTGTTAAATAGTTTTAACAAAATCTATTTGTGTATTATATATCTAGCAGGGGTGGGGAGAGGAAACAGAATTTGGGTGACAGGACAAATTGTTCTTACACAAAATCCATTGGGCTATATATTTGTCAGAAAATACATGCAAAATATAAACAAAAAACATCCCACAGTGGAACATTATATATGTAAGCAGAGACAGCTGATACAAGGTTTTGTAAGAACCCATGTAACCTCTAGGAAGAAAATCCGTGAATGTATCCTTGAAGCCTTCGCTGGACCACCTGACTGTGGGGAATATTCACCCTCTTACCAGAAAACTGTCAACTGTATCCAGATGCTTGTCCTTTCCAGAGTGTCACAGGTATCTTCTTTCCTCCTAATGATGTTTTACTTCAACAACAGTGAATGTTAATTGCACCACTGTAAAGACCAACATGAGGGTGTTATTTCCTCTGTCAGTTCTAAGACTGGAAACTCCTCAGCTGGGAACACAATGGGGGAGAACATCACTCAGTTCTTGGCAGCATTTGAATAGAACTGAAAGGTGTGCTACACATGTTCACTAGATTGCATTTGATCAGCTCTACTGGGGGGGTTGCATTGTTCTTTTTTACACAAAGTGAAAAGCCTGCCAGGCTGTTGACTGAAAAGGTGCTCTAATTCATTATCTCATCCATTTCATGGTTTCAGGTACAGGTCATAGAAGTCGTTTTGAACAACACTTTTTATAATGTTGTAGACATGAAGAATCTAGGCTTGAACAATGACAAAGAAGTAAGTAAACGCTTCAAATACAACTTGACTGCCCCCTTTAGAAATACTCAGCCTTAAAGCATAGCAGCAGTTCTACATAAAACAGAGTTAAAATGAGCACAATTTCTTCTCCTAGTCCCAGCAAAAGCTCCACATTGCCTCTAAAAAAGACTTACACTGATTACAAAAGGAGGATAAATAATTGTCTTCTGGTGTTATTGATAAAAACTAAGGGTCAATGGAATACCCTGAACATCAAAAGGATCTGTAACAGAGACTGTCTCTGAAAAATTATTCCTATTTTCTTCACTGAATTTGACTCTCAATTATAATACCAATCTGTGCATTTTACCCAAGTAGAATGCACTGTGGCATCCCACATTGGTCCAAGAGTGGAGGAGGTACAAGCCTGGGATCAGGCATAGGGCAAGGGGTAAGGGGTGAGATGTATTTGCTCCTCCCTCCACAGCTTCTCTAGCTGCCAGCTAGGTCCAGCTGAAAGTCTGTTATGTTACCCTCACATGAAAGAGAAAAATTGGGTTATTCCATTTGACATCGATGGTCTATAGTCCGTTTATGCTCTAGTTTCCCTTCAGAGTCTTGTGATTCTGCTACTGTGGTCTCCTTTCCCTCTTTCAGCATCTACCACTGAAATCTACTCTCTCATGAGAAAGGGTCTGGGCATGATTTTATGAAGGAGG